ATTTTTTTGTTTGCAGGCATAACTCACTGATATAGCAGATTAAGGCTTTCTAAATCTGCAGTTGCTTAAATTAATCATTAGTTAAAATAAAGACAATGCATTTTGCACTAAAAGAACTTACTTTTAGCCTCCAAAAATCCCAAACTGTGTGGACATTTTGAAAAAAAAAAAAATTTAAAATTAAAAAATCTGATTTAAATTTAAAAAATCGAATTTTTTAATTTTTATTTTAAAAATCATAATAAAATCACCAACCCTGTATACTACACGATATACCAATTCCAGTAATTAAAACAGTTGTTCCCCCTGATGAAATCTCAAACAGCATCAGTGTGCACGTGTTTGAGCTGTGTTCTTACTGTCATTTCTGCATTTTAAAATATTTTTTTCCCGGAACAATTCTCGTGTGGAAATATACCATCTCACATCTAGGCCTAGATCTACATAAAGTAAAGGCGAGAGCTTGGATTTTCTGATCAGGGGAAGAAAAGAAAATAGAAAAAAATGGTCTCGATTTAGACCTATCCATACAGAGTTCATCCACTTTCACACAGCCCGCATCGCGTTCCCACCACCCCCTCCCATCCCTACCGTAGGCTAACCCTCACCCATCCTCTTGGCTTTGGGGCCCATATTAGGAGGCACACTAGATCTAGCTATAAAATGACAATGTGTAAGGAATCGAGGATGGGCCTTGTGCTTTGGGTGAGATGGAGAGAAAGGAGAACAATTCTTCGCTTTTGGGGCAGCTAATTCTTTTTATTTGGTCATCGTGAGCTCGTTGAAAGCGACTTCTGTCTGTTTGCAACCTCGCTGGAGCTGACGTACATTTACAAAGAGATATAGAGGGAAAAATCGGGGATTAATCCTCAGCATGCAGGGGTCGGGTTTATGTCGCCCGATAAGCCTATTTCGGCATCTCGCCTGCGTTCTGGTCCCGCGTCGGATCCACATTCACGCAGCTCAAGTGTGCGTGCGTCAGTCTGCTTGAGTTTGTGTGCGTTTCTGGCCTTCTTCTAGAACTACCAACAGCAATCAAATGATGTGTTTAAGCATCCAGGAACTCTTCAAAATACAATACAAAATGAAAGACAGAAAATCATCTTTCTACACAAAGGCTACAAAAATAATCTTGCCCAAAGATGGACCAAAAAAAACCAAGCAAATAATAAGCGTTGAGACTGCATGTGATGAATAGACTCTATTATTAATCTTAAACAAAAAAATCATGGGTTATGTCAAATATTAAGTGATGACACTAACTGTTGGTTCTAAAACTAATTTTGTCTAAAACATAATGTTAACAGAATGGCATTCAGAATGCTGGACATTTTAATACATGTAATATAAACCAAAATGTCTTAAAATTAAAATTTAAAAATATTATTACCAGTTATAGGTTAGATTGCTTTGAGTAGAATTTCGACATCCACGGTCCTGTGATCACTTTGCTAGTCACTCCCAATGCCCACACTTGCACCACGAACTTCTCATTCCTCAGGTTTGCTTCCACTTTTTGTCCCCGTCGCTATATCAAGAAAAATTCTGATATTATGCAAACTGAGCCCCAAACAAGTGAAATTAAGTTTATTAAGCGATTCTGTTAATTTTAGGGAGTGCTTATTTAGGCCACATGTGGCCTAAATAAGGTAAGGGAGGGGGGTTTAGCTTATTTAGGCCACACATGCTCAAACTACCGGGGGACACCCTTTTCAGGCAACTGAGTTCGTTCCACTTTCATTGGTGCACCTTTCTCATTTAGTATGGTTTTGTCTCAGTGTACAACTTATATATATTAAATATATCATAATGAATATTGTAAGAACAAAGCACGATATACGCAAAATTTTGCTCAATCCCAATGGTTTGAATGAGGGCCAGAATTTTCCTTCATGGAGGGGCAAAATCTAGGCTACCATTTTGGCACACTTTGGTCAAGTAAAAAGGTCAAATCCTCCGAATGGACTTCCGGGTCAAATTTGGGGTATAAAAAGTGTGTACACAACGTGGCTGAGTCAAAGTTACACTATCTTTGCCTGGGTGGCACTCTCTCGTACTGTCTCGTAGTAGTAAATCTCTCGTACTGTCTAGTAGTAGTACATGTAGATCTAGTAGTAGTAGTAGTAGCAAAGATCGTGTAGAGAATCTTTGATAGTAGATTCTATCTAGTAGGCAGTTTAGTGAACGTGCACGCGGCAGGGCGAATCGGCCTCGATAAGCCCCGTAGACCTTTGTGATTGGCCACGAAGCCTCGTGTTTTGATGGGTCTAAACAATTTAGTGTTAATCGCACTGCCACATCCGACAGGCCTATATCTTTTTAAAAGGAAAAGAAATGGTCATCAAAATGGTTGAATTTGCGTGAAAATCGATTCCGTAGAACTGGAACTATTAAAATTTGCTTCTGAAAACAAGTTACAAGGCCATTTTTATAACTCGATGAAATAAAAACTACTGGCTGTGATATTCTGTATAAATTATGAAACTTCAGGATGTATTATTATTTTCCAACATCTTTTGACGCCTTAGCTGTAGAGGTTGAAGTTTTCACAACACTAATAGATCTAGTAATAGGGCTTTCCGTAAAAAATTCATAGATCTACAAAAGCCGAACCACCGAATCGACCGGTCAGCAACCCGGGCACCCCGCTCTCCCCTGCACACTGTGATAACATGATGCTTCGGTATAATTATTCAACTATTAATACGTGCGGCTATGGCAATTGGGATATACTGACTGACAAAGCGATTCACAGTTTTGTTTTTATTTTACCATATATTTGACTTTAATAGTGCAGGTGATAGCTAGATGTTGATTCCCTGTCTAGAATCAGTAGTAGCAGGCTTATGCTAGAAGCAGCCAGAGATCCTACAGCTGCTAGATCTGGATCTAACTCATTGCAATGCCTTTGGGCTTTGGAATTGAAATAAAACGAATTGCACAGTTCTAGTTAAGTTTAGATTCAGCAACTATCTGTATTTCCAGAATTAATAATAACAAATCTCACCATAACAATCACTTTTACTTTTATGAGAATAATTAGATCCAATTTTTTTTCCAAAATCTGTTTTGCGCAAACTTAAGACTTTCTCTACGTGTAGAGCACATAATTTACATTGTAAGCCTCTGCTCAGTCTTTTATTTTTAAGTATATATACATTTAAATAAAATACGTGTAGATCTAGATCAATAATCATTTTATGTTATTTTCTGGATATTTTTAAAACTCTTTTTTTTTCACATGTCATAAAGTCAAATTGTGCCATTTTCTTTTATAAGAATAGCATTAGCAGTGGACTTTTTAGACAGAGAGTCTCTGATTCAATATTTAAAAAAAAAATGCTAATCATTGAAAATTGCAAATTGATATAGTATAGAAAAGTCCTGTAGAGGATAGGTGGACTCCGGGGTCTGCATAGCGAAATACTAGTACTAGATTTTAGGATGTGAACCCCGGAGTCACCGTAGTGAAATAAGGTTTGGTTTAAGTAAGGATTGGTGGACCCTGGGGTCAACGTAGTGATAAATAAGCAGGTTTAAGGTGGACCCCGGGTCTACCTAGCAAAATAATAGGTTTTAGGACAGGTGGACCCCGGGGTCACCGTAGTGAAATAAGTAGATTTATTTAAAGATCAGTGGACCCCGGGGTCACCGTAGTGAAATAAGTAGGTTTAATTTTAAAAGGATTGGTGGACCCCGGAGTCACCATAGCCGTAGAGGAATAAGAAGGTTTAATTAAGGATTGGTGGACCCCCGGGACACCGTGATTAAGCCTACTTATTTTACTACGGTGACCGCATGGTCCACCTATTCTAAAACCTAATTAGTATTAAATTTCGTTAGGTAGACCCTGGGGTCCACCTTAAACCTACCTATGTCACTATGTTGATTCCTGGGTCCACCAATCCTTTAAATTAAACTTAGATCTACATGTACTTATTTCACTACGTTGACCCCAGGGTCCACCAA